CGGACCTCAGCTTCATGCGACTGTCTGCAGCTGTGCGTCCAACGGGGGAGGCTCCACCTGCTCGAACAGGCGCCAAAAACAACCAAGATCTACTCCAGGGGAGGGGGGGAGGGGGTGCGAGGGCCCGCGCCGATCGGCAAAACGAGGACTAACGAAAACGATCCCAAGGCCACACTCGGCGGTTCGGCTGTCTCGCGAGCAGCCCGGCGGCGCCTCGCGCGGCTGCCGGGCGAGGCTCGCCGCGCTCCCCCCGGAGAGCTGCTCGTCGTGGCGCCCAGGTTTAGGGCGGGCATGTCCCCCTACAGGCGGGTTTCAAAAGAAAGCTGAAACAGAGTGTCGACATGTTCAAACACGGCAAGCAAAATACAAGAAAAAAATCCTCCCCTGACTATTTCTGAGCATTCCTCCTGTAGAGGGACAGGCCCGACGTGAACCCAGGTGCGCTGTGGCCTTCTGCCCCTGGGCCCCGCAGGGCGGGCAGCGGGGCCGCGGTCAGCGGGGCCGCGGTCGTCCAAGCGGGTCCCCAGACGCAGGCCCCCGCTGTCGTCCTGCTTTGCCCAAGCAGCGTGGGCCCCTGGACACCTCGACCCCTTCCCCGGAACCGCTTTTTCATCCCGAGTCTGTGTTGCTTCCATCGTACCTTGAGGACTGCATCCAAGAAGTAGTTTCGAGCACCCAGGAGAGCATCGAAGACAGTGTCGAAAGAGCATCGCCTCCCAGGGGTACTTTCTTGGTTCTCGATTTTTTTGTCTGGTGGTCAAGGCTAAAGCAGGCTGGAACACCATAACCCGAGTCGCTCTTCCAGTCCCAGGGCCCCGATGGGCCGCCACGGGGCAGAGAGCAGCAGAAGCTCTCCCGTCGCGTTTTCTCCCCGACTCGAGAGGGGCCTGGGGACGGTCCCTCTTCCTTGGACGCGAGAAACGGGTACGCAAAAGGGGGGGCGAAGCATAACAACACATGTCGTTCTCCAAAACTGACAGCGGCCGCTGTTGGCGGCCCTGTCTCGAATCGACCACACCTGCGGCGGCACCGACAGCGTCCTTCTCAGAATGAACAGGAATAGCTGTCGGTGTTCGTACCCACTCTTCGAAGAGGGGATCGGCCACAGCAGTGATCTGCGAATTCCATAAGGATTCGGACCCACTCTTCGAAAAGGAGATCGCATACGGTTCGCAGATCTACGAACATTCTACGTATTTGTTCGTATGTTGGCTGACAGAGGTCACGTTTGGTGCAAATGAACTCTGCAATCGATCTCTTACGCGAACTCTATCCGTGCCCACTTCGACCGAACCGATTTGCCGAGGGGATCAAACAATGGCATACATATAAAAGAACGCTTATGTCCGCGCGGGTTTCTCGGATTAGCGCTGGACACCCCCCCTGGCGCGCGGAGCGCGCCAAGGGCGGCGCCGGAGACGCCGCTAGGGGGCCCCAGCGCCGCGCCAGGGGGCCCCAGAGCCGATCCAAGGAATTCGCGCGGACACTTGAATTGTTCTGTTTATGTCATTGCTTGTTCTCCTATTTTGGACGCCCGAAATGAGTACGGAAAGAAAGGGTACAATGCCCAACCACAAATGTTGTTCAACATCGACAGCTCAATAAACAACGCCCGCGGCGGCGCGGACAGCGAATCCTGCTCAAAACGGGCAGGGAATGCTGCTAGTCTCCATACACAATGTAGCCGTACCTATTTTGATCGTACCGACCTATCTGAGGGGGCCCAGGGACACACAAACGAATACACACAAATTCCAAGACTCCCTCTCTTTTTTCTCACATGTTCTTGACTTTCGTCTTCCCCCCCCGCTTCCGATCCTTTGCCGTCTTTTCCTTCGGATCGGCGACTTCCTGTGCCTGTGTGTTGTTTTTTCCCCTCCTGGCTATTGTTTGGAGTCCCGAAACGGTGCGGTGACAGACCGTGCGGTGACCTCGGAACCCCAAAAGACCTCACCGCACGGTCCGTCACCGCATGGTCTTGGGACCCTGGAGGCCCCTGTCGCCCGAGACATCCTCGGAGAGGGGCTCGAGTCCCAAAACCGTGCGGTGACCCCAAATCCCACCGACTCACCGCACGGTGTGGTCACGACACCGTTTGGGGGCCCCCGGTATTGCTGTGCCTTTTTTTTCCTCGGCAACGCAGCGAATGCTGTACACAGCTTCGACTCCAAAACCTAGGCGCCGTCGAGATTCCAAACAAAACGCTGCTCGAAGACGGCCGCCCGGAATTGGACGGAGAAGGCAACCACAAATGTTGAAAACCTGGGGTGATCCACGCCCGTGCCAGGTGAGACGACATCTCGCCAGGCAAACCCGGAACGCAACGCAAACCCCGATATTGCTGTGCCTGAGTAGGGGAACGAAAAGTGATATAAACATAAAAACTCGGAGGTCCATGCGGATTTCTCGGATCGGCGCTGGACCCCCCTCCCTGGCGCGCGGAGCGCGCCAGGGGCGGCGCCGGAGGCGCCGCCGGCGGGCCCCAGCGCCGCTCCGAGAAACCCGCGCGGACCTCCGAGCTTTTATCTTTATGCCACTTTTTGTTCCCCTAGATATTGCCCGAGAACTTTCGTTCCCGTACCAGAATGGGCACGGGCCGCGGCGGCGTGGACACGAGTCCTGTTCAAGATGAACAGAAACTGCTGTTGGGCATTGTGTGCCCATTCTTTCCGTGCCCATCTCGTTCGTGCAGAGATACTTTAACGGGCGAAGAACGGTATAAAATAAACTTTTTCGCCGTCGGGGACACCTGCCCCTGGGCGGCTGGAAAGTTTACCCTTACGGTGGCACCGTAGGGGTATAAACTTTCCAGCCGCCCAGGGGAGGAGGAGGAGGAGGAGGAGGAGGAGGAGGAGGAGGTGGAGGAGGAGGAGGAGGAGGATGGGGAGGAGGAGGAGGAGGAGGAGGAGGAGGAGGAGGAGGAGGAGGAGAATGCGGAGGAGGAGGAGGAGGAGAATGCGGAGAATGCGGATTTTTGTTTTGAGCACTGTGGCTCTCGCTGCATGCTTAAAGCACACTGAAAGTGTCAGAGAGTAAGGTGACCCCTTTCGCTTTGGGATGGAGTCCCTTACAGATCTTGTTCCAGGCGTCAGAGTTGTAAACCGAAACCTTCTGACCTGGACAAATCTTATTGAGTGCTGCAAGACGGGTTCCACTAGTGTATCTCTGGCAAAGCGTACAAACGACAACAAACGAACCGTTCGAACAATCCAGTAGGATACACTTGTGGTTTAAATCTCTAAGCCGCCGAACATCCACTCTCATAGAATCAGAACAATGTCCAGGGGCAGGCTCTTTGTCGGCAGCGTTGCGCGACGTCCTGAGGCACCCTTGACAAATCCAAAAACGTTGGTCCCCTCCAGGAGGCCCGAGCCACTCCCACCGATGAGGCGGGGTTGAGGAGCGGGGGGCCTGAGCGGGGGCAGACCACGAGGCACGGGAGGTCCGTGCGCGGCCATAGCGGCAGAAGAGCGGCACACAGTCTGACCGCCATGAGCGCCGAATTCACAAGAGTAGTGCATGCGTTTGCTATATCCTCCGACGGCGCCTGGTGGGACTCAGCTCCCAGCTTGGCGGCCTTATCGGCGAAATCATTTCCTATCCTTCGAACACGCTCGTCATCGTCGATCTCTGGATCGTCGATGGGAAGATGCGCAGGCACTTTCTCCCACCCAAGCGTCCTTTTTCCTCCAAGAGAACGACCCTGAGCGACGAGCCCCGCATAAGGACGCTTGGGTGAGATCTGTTGGTGTCGGGCCATGCCGTGCATGGAGACCACATTCTGGCAATCTGAATACAGAATAGCAGGAGCAGACAAGAAAGCGCACGCCATGACATAAGCCGAAAATTCACCTGCCTGGGGAGTCTGGGGGCAACTGTCCCACACGGGGCCCCAGCTCCAAGCTAGAAAGAAGATTTGCACGGGGGCCCATCATCGCTAAACCCCAACCAGCTCTGTTCGAGCTGCGGACCACCCGTCGAGAACACGAGCCATCAAGGAAAACGTGGCCCCACATCTGGCGGCGGCCGTCGCGGGGCATCTCCATGCCTTCGGCCGCGAAGCCTTCAGGAAAAAAACTGAAACTGGATACCATCATCCTCCTCGGATCTACTGTCGGGCTTAGGTGGCGGGAGCGCACTCTGGGGGTGTCCAAACAAACCAGAGGTGAGGTGGAACCGTTCTCTCTCCGAAACCGCTTCGAACTGACTCAAAACCTGCTCCAGAGCACTGCGAGGAATCAGCTCCCTCCGCTCCTCCCCCACCGCCGAACACGCATATAACCGATGAAAAATCGTGTCGCCAGGCTGATGGCAGAGTGGGCAACGATCGCACACTTCGTAACCTGCAGCTCGTGCACGGGCGCAGGGCCAGATTCCTTGACAGGCACAACAACGGATAGTTCCTTTCTGGCGAGCAGTAAACTTTTTGGACCGAAGGGCTTTGATGACGACATCAAACCATAACGACTCGGCCCCTTCGGGGCCGTACTTGGCAGCCGCTTCTCTCTCCAAAGGCCGCCAAACCCCCTCTTTGAGGAAAACCTGGAGGAGAGAAGGAGGCGTAAGCGTGAGCGAATGCTCAACTCCCAAATCGCTGACCATGACAAAAGGCGAGGGCATGCTCCATCCCAAGCGGGCCAGGGATAACTTCATGGCCCCAATGGGCCCGCTCACAGTCCTCCAGGTCCAGGAGCGCCCGAAAACATCGTGCCACATGTTTCTGAGCTCGGCCCAGGAAAAACAAACTTCGGAGGCACTCGTGGCACGGGCCCAAACTTCCTTGGCCCACCTGGTGGCAGGCGCCACCGCACCCCACCACGCAGGATCGCCCTCAATCCTGCTGAGGATGGTTAAACTTCGGCCTCCGCAGGCAGGCTTCATAGTGGAGGCACACATACGTCTGATTTTAGTTAACTCTCCGTCACTGACCCCGTGAACTTCCGCCCCATAGTTGACTCCCGCGAGAGGTCCCGCAGTGCAGAGCTTGGTAGCCCTTGGTCCTAGAACTCCTCTTTGACGCGCCAGCCTGCCTGCGCGCCTAGAGGCTCTCGCAAAGCGCGTCTTCGCCCTGCTGTTGCGTCCGCGGACTCGCCTGGCACAGCCTGCATGTCACCAATCCCTAAATTGACGAACGACTCAGTACAGACTCCTCCAAGCCCCCCAAGCCGTTTCTGGACATGTCTGGCGATTTCCTTGGAGGACGCAACCAGCCCGACCTTGTCGGGGGAGACTTGCGCGAAAAGAACCTTGTCGATGATCTCCTCAAGGGACTTAGCCGCTCGAGGGAGTTCTTTCATAATGTGTCTAGTGGTCCCAATCGCATTAATCCCTAGGTCATCAATGTAGGCGTCGAACGTGATCCCCTTAGGGACCTCCAGTTGATCAAAACCCCGCAGGGCAAAGATCCTGATCATAGTGGTGGCAAAGCTGCATCCCGCTATGATTCCAACTCTCGCGTGCGTGGGAGGCGCAACCACTCCCGCCAGCACTAAGAAACGGGCAGAACGGTATCCCGCCATGCACGCATCGGCGAGCGCATCAGGGAGACCGTGCTGCCTGCATCGAAGGGCCAGAAGTTCAAGAGGGATGCGCTCGTAGTACTTGACGAAATCCCAGAGAAGAGTACAGGCCTCCTGCCCGCAGGCTCGGGAAGACTCCGAACGGGCACTTTGCCTCCAAACAACATCGCACGCGGACTTGAATTTTTCCGCCGCCCAGTACTCTCTCTGGTGTTTCTCTTCCCACTCAACCGCATAAACTCTCCTGCATTTCCCCCATAATCTGTACAGACTAGGGAATGCCCCGATGGGGCGGAAGCCTGAGGTGGGCTTTGGAAGCATGGCAATAATCACGGCCTCCAGCTGCGGGGGAAGGGTACCCGTGAGTTCCATCAAAGTGAAAAAAACGCGAGAGGGCCCACAAAGCCCCGTCGGACAGCACCGAAAAGTGTCCCAGGTGAAACCCGTCCAGGCCCGTGGCAGACCTGCGGGCAAAGGTGCGAGAAACCTTCCGAATAATGTCAACCGAAATGGGTGGGAGGGGGGTATTCACTTTCCCTGGCCTTTTCTGAGGTACAGGGAGCCCTTCCCACAAGTAGCGAAAGCGAACAGCTTCGGCGGCCAGGAGCGCATGCGGGTCGGACACCACGCAGCCTCCAGCACTAAGTGTAGTGGATGGTGTCCATCCTTGAGGATCTCTGGTGTAGCCATGCGCCCTACGCCCGCCTTGATCGACATTCTCGGTGAGCCAGTCCGCCCAATCCCGTCTGGCCTTGGCGGCGTAGAAGGCGCTACATTCAGACACAAAGCCGGTAACCTGGGTAGAGACCTCTTCGACTTGGGCAATCAAAACCTCCTGAGCCTCCAAAAAGCTAGGATCATCGCCCGACCCATCCAGCGGGTCAACCAAAACCTTGAAGTCCAAAATCACCGAGGAAACACGACCGAAAACCACTTCAATCCCAGGGAACAGGTTGTCGGGCTTACACAAGCTGGGGGGGGGGGGACGACAGAACGCTCCCCACTTCCCTAGCCTGGGGCCAATCCCCCCTCTGCACACACATAGAACGCCTTTTGAACTTCGAAGCGAGCCAGCGGCAGGCGTGGAGCTGGGGGTAACGCACGCACCCGTGGTCTTTACTGAGGATCGGCCTCCAATGGGTCTTGGGCCCCACACCCCTCGACCCCAAAACAGGAAGTTGAACCCCGAAAGTCCTTGATAGTTCCCGTTTGGCAAGACCCGCCCAAGACGCGTACGCTTCACGAAATAGGCGGGCAGTCATAACCCCATCGCCCCCTCTCTTGGCTCGAATGAAAGTCGCGTCCAGCTGGGCACGCACGCGCTTAAAGTCCATCGGCTCTGGCTGAGGACCGAAGGGTACTTCCGATGGGAGAGGAGGCGGGCGTCTGAAAGCGAGGTAGTGCATCTGGGCCAGACCAGCATGAAACTCGAGTCAAACTGGACTGTGCGGAAAGAACCCTGCCTCCTCGATTATGCGAACTTCGGCTGCGCCCTTTGACAGCCCAGAGGAAACCGCGAAGTAGTCGTAGACTTTGCCCGCACCAGCGTGGCAAGTAGGCTTGCTGGGGTCGATGACTTGACCAACCAGGGTGCTCACGAAAAAGGACTTGGCGAGTTCGGAAGGCTCCATGTTCCAGTCTCCCCCGACAAGGAATGGTTTCCCGCAGGTGGACCCTTCCGCCCCTATAGCCGACAGTATCTCGAGGTTAGGTTCCGAAAGCCCTTCAGAGTCGCGCATATAAACTGAACAAACTTGAATCACGTCCCCTTGGGGCGCATGCACCAGAGCCGCAATGGCCCTGTGGGGGGCCAGCTCGAGCCCCGAGGGCGCCCTATGAAGCCCAAGAGTGGCGCGACACAGAATCGAAACTCCCGCAGAGGGCCCCCCTTCGGGCCCAGTCGTGCCAAGGATCCAAAGAGATTTGAAACCGAGGCCGAGACCAACGGAAGAGGCTCTATCCAGGGCCTCCTGAGTCAAGAGCTTGTGCTCTTGGACTAGAATCACTTCAGCATCTGCACTGGGGAGCCACTCCTTCACCGACCCCCAGGCATTACCTTTGGCCGACACGACTCTCAGACGGAACGACTGTTGGCCTGGAGGTGGCGGGGGCAAAAAGGGGCCACCATGCTCAGTACCAAAACCTGGCTCCGAGCGAGACGCATCTCTATCTCGAACGTTGAGACTAGTATTTCGAGGCAAAGCAGGAAGAAGTTGGGCACGAGGAGGAGGGGTCCTGACAGCATGTGTTCGCTGTCGACCTCCCTCCGCAGAAACTGAACTGGAACACCTATCAGGTGTTGCTCGTAGAGAAAAGTGTAAATCCCCCCCTTCAGGCCTGCTGCCCGTCAGGGGGGCTGCGATTTTTCTGCTCACTGGGCCGCTCACCTGAGCCGCTGCTCTCAGGAGTTGACTGCTGCTGCTGAACCCGCTCTGCAACTCGTGCTGCACGCTCGCGAACTCGGCTGACAGAGGCGGCTGGCTGGCTAGCGTCGCTGGCCGATGCGTCGCCACTGCCAGAGGCACCCCCAGGATGCGGCCCACCTTCTCCAGCACCTCCTTCGCGAACTCCGCCACCCGCCGACACTGACCCATCGCACCCCTTCCTGCGCTTGGTGGCCATGCGCTTGGGGTACCCGTCGTGCTCGGCCTTGGCGACTGCAGCTCGCTCCATAGCTTCGGCGAACAGGGCCTTGGCTGCCTTGCCGATATGCTCCTTGAAATCGGCCCGACGTCGCTCCACCTCCTGTAGATCAGATGCCTCCATGCCCTCAGCGCCGACGGAGAAAAGGCCTCCGTCGTCGATGACGATGTTGGAGACCCTCCCGTCCACGAGGTCGCGGAGTGAAAAGGTGGGCCCAGGCGAAACCTCTGCGTCGGCATCCGAGGGAGGAACAACTGCAGTGTGAAGCTGTGCCACAAGCTGCCGATGTTCTGTGACCATGGCCTCGGACTGCTTCGACAAGTCGTGAATGAGTACCTCCTGCGCCTTGATGCCGTCTTGCCACCTCGCAAGCTTCGCCAGCTCCGCCTCCAGCCTGCCGTCGAGCTTCTTGATGCGGTGGTGCAGGTCACTGACCTGGTCCTGCAAGGCCTTCGGCGGAGGCTTCGAGGCTGCCGCCATGGCGTCCAGCTGGCCTTGGTACCTGGCCGCGGTGGCCTGGTCACCTGCGCGGCGTGCCAGGGCGACCAGCATCTGGAGCTCCTTCGCGTCCAGCGGGGCGTCTGGACCACGGCCGCTGCTGCCCGTGCCCTGCGGCGCTCCTCCAAGCTGAGGTCCAGGCGGGAGGGCAGACCGTTCTCCTGGGGGGTGATACCCAGGAGCGCGAGGAAGACCCTGAAAATGAGACCAAACGCCACGAGGAGGAGCATGCTGACTGGCCGAAGGAGCCTGCCTCGGCGACCCGCAGTGCTTGCAGAGCGACGCCCACACTGTGGTCTTGCCGCACCCGCACGCAACGCACTTCCAGCAGTCACTCCTGCCTGCCGCGCCGTATCCTTGGCCACCAGCCCACTGGGCGCCCCCGCCGCAGTCGTAGTTACTCCAGTCATGCCTCTGCCAGCCCTTGGAGCCGCCGCCACGCCACGGGGGAGGAGTGCCTCCGCCGCCGCCGCCGCCGCCCTTGTAAGGGCCATGGGACATCAGACTGACTGGGAAGGATGATCGAGAATAAAGAAACCAAAAATTTTGACTCGCGGACCCCTTGCCGTTCTGAAGAGAGGACCCGCAAGCGCACACCTGCGCCAGAACGGCTATGCGGAGAATGCGGAGGAGGAGGAGGAGGAGGAGGAGGAGGAGGAGGAGGAGGAGGACAAGCACATGGAGATCGGCACAGGTTCCAAGATTCCCGCTGTGTTTACAGTCGGACTCGAGGACTCGATCGGACAGGACACGCGAGAGGACACAAGACCCTTCCGAGGGCCACGTTGCCACAGAAATGCAGGAGGCATGGGTCGCGAGACGCAGGACACGAGGGTGCCCTTGATCTGGCAGGGTCGACCTACTAATCCGGGCCGCCTGTACGTGCGCCAGAGTTGTCAACAGAAGGGGAGGGGTCACAGCCCTCCCAGACGAGCGAGATTGGTGGACCCCCCACAGACCAGCCATGGCAGGGCGGCCTGTTGTCCTGACCCCAGTGGAACCGTCTGAGACAACTCCAATCAGATCCCCTCCCAAATCAGACCAGCCCCGTTTTAGTGTGAACTCCGGAGTACATACATCCTCCCAGATCCCCGACGCCATGATTTGTTCATAGCGTCGACCCCCAAAAGTCTCGACCTGTATCACCGAGACCGGTTTCTCATCCCGCATAGTTTAATTTTTTCGACGGCCCCGAGGCCTGGTAAGGGCCCCCCAGAAGCCGAAAGTAGGAAAAGACCTCCCGTCGTGATTTTTCATGACCCGAGGGGTCTGGGTGTCGCGCTTCGCTGCATGCCTCCTCCTTCCCCTCCCCTTCGTCCTCTGGTCCAGGGCACCCGCCGATCCTCTCCAGGGAGCGGCCCTGCCAAGACCAGCGCAGGTGGACACCAGGACCGCCGGCGCCGTCACTGTTTCTCGCCATCGCTCGGACGTCCATTCCTCGTGTATTTTTCGATTTCGTGCGTGTTTTTTTTTTCGCCAGATGATCAAGGATGGTCCTCGATGGCCGTCGCCGAGAAACAAATGCACACGTCCGAGCGATGCCAAGGTTTTCTCGACGTGGTGCCCCGAGGGTCTCGGGCGGGTAATGGTGGGGGGGGGACCTCACTGGATTTGGACGCCCGAAATGGGTGCGGAAAGAATAGGTACAATGCCCAACAACAAATGTTGTCCCAAACCAACAGCGGCCGCTGTTGGGCAGGCGGCCTTCTGTTCAAATGGACACAGGCCGCGGCGACACCGACAGCGAGTCCTGTTCAAAATGAACAGGAACTGCTGTTGGGTATCGTACCCATGTTTTCCGTACTCATTTCGGGCGTCCCAACTGGAGGGTGAAGTCAGGGGCCCTCAAAGGAGCCCTTTCGGGCCCCTCATGGGCCCCTGCTGTCTCCCCAAAAGGGCCCTCAAGGCCCCTCTCTTCATCACCCGTGTAGCTCACCCACAATGCCAGCCGCCCACACGATCGGTTTTTCCATCAGTGTCATTTCCTGACGGCCCTGGGGCCGAAAAAGGGCATCAAGGAGGCCGAGAATGCCGAAAACTTCACTTGGCGATTATTCAATTGTTTCGCTCACTCCGCTGGTCCATGTTGTAGCAGCGTTGGCACGCGGCTGCGTGCTCGCGGGCGCATTTTTGGGGACCCCTTGCCCCCGAAAATGGCGCGACCGAGAATCCCAAAACGGAACAAAACGAACCTCCTAAAGTTGCTTTGAAAACGAGCAACAAAAACACGTCTCCAGCTTTTCTACTGCGGGTTCGTGTCGTGTCGACCTCAGCGTTGGTTCCTGACACCGCGGAGATCGTTCAACCTTGAGGCATCGGCCCTTTTCCTAAACGTCAAATCGGTCAACATCGACCGATTCTGGGTCGCCGGCAACGTTCAACGTTGAACGCCAATGTCAGGGTCGCCACCTGTCGACACGACGCGAACCTACCTTGACATCCCAGAGCACCCTGAGGGGCAACGATAGGGGGGACTGGCATAGGGGGGGAAACATCGACCTGGAATCGGCGATACATCGCCGATAGATCGGCGATAAGCCCCCGACGATGGATCAGCACGTTCCTGGGCAAGGGTGGGCCATCGGGCCCCTGTCGGCTAGGAACGGACTATTGGGGGTCGATATATCCCCCCCTATGCTCAGACCCCCGACGCCATGATGTTTTCATAACGTCGACCCCCAAAAGTCTCGACCCTTTCCTGGGACCGGTTTCTCATCCCGAGTCGTTTTTTGACGGCCCCGAGACCCGGTAAGGGCTCCCAGAGGCCGAACATAAGGAGAAACCTTCCGTCGTGACATTTTGTCATCACCCAAGGGGATCTGGGCGCCTATCCCTCCCTCCTGCTGCCCCTGATCTAGAGGCTAACTAGATGAGATCCGTGTAGATGGGGTCAGAGGATCTCGCTGCATCGCCGCTGCATCGGCGATGCACCGCCTATGCATCGGCAACGCATCGGCGACGTCGGCGGTGCATCGGCGACGTCGGCGTCGAGAAACACGGGCTCCGCATCGAGCCGCATCGTCGATGCATCGGCGATGCGGCGCCATCCTCCGACCCCATCTACTCCGACCCCACCTAGGAGGCCTAGCTGATCCCAGAACACTTCGCGGAGGAGGAGGAGGAGGACGAGGAGGGCAAGGATGAGGAGGAGGACGAGGAGGAGGACGATGAGGAGGAGGAGGAGGAGGAGGAGGAGGAGGAGGAGGAGGATTTCTGCTTGCCCGCAGGGCCCCAACTGCTGGGTGAAAGGCAGGCGGCGAGGCAGCGAACAGGACACCTGCTTAAAAAAGGAGGAGGACGAGGAGGACTCGCCATCGCTCGGACTTCCATTCCCAATGTGTTTGTCGATTTCGTTCGTGCATTTTTCCCCATCTCCTAAGGATTGGGGTTCTTGTTATTACTCTGACGCCTCCCACGCGCGGACTCCTTCCTCCCGCTCGCGCCTCCCTCCTCCCAATGATAATCACCAGATAAGACAAGACAATATAAGATACTACAATATAAGATAATATAGCACAATATATGATAAGGTAATATATGATATATGACAAGGTATGATAATAGATAAGATAAGACAGCCTATGGAGTAATAAGATAAGACAATATATGATGCGATAAGATGAGTTGATCTAAGATAAGCTAACAACATGTCTCTCTTGAGAGCCTCATGGTCACAACACGCTGCCAGGGGCATCATTTGGGAGCCCCAAGGGGGAGCCACCCTGGCTGATCTCACGAGCCCGTTCGCGCCGATTTTGGTGGGACGTCTCAGCTAGAATTGCCGTTTGGCGCCCCCAACATGTATCTCTTGAGAGCCTCATGGTCACAAAACGCTGCCAG